TAAAAAGCTGCAGTTCCAACTACTAAAGTAGTAGTCGAAGGAGTTGTTGAGTAGTAGATAGAAAAAAAAATGTACTAACGATTTTATTATTCCAGATTTAGTATTGCTAGTATTATTCAGTTTATTATTATTACCATTATCTTAGTGCTTAAGAAATATCGAAAGCAAGATACTTTTTTTTTCTTGCCGGCCGGAATATGTTAAAAAAGAAAAAAAAAAAAAAAAAAAAAGAAAAGAAAAAGTTAGCTTCCTTGTTTTGTATGCTGTTTTTTTTTTTTTCATCTCATCACGTAAAAAAAGAAAAAAAAACAGGATTCAGGTTCTGTAAAATAACTTTATCGGATTGTTTCCATAATGGAAAATCAAAATATCAAAGAACTAAAAATGCCGTTAGGGAGAAGATAATTTAGGACGAAATAGAGATACACAAGGGATTTTTTTTTTAAATGACGCTGACTACAGTGTGAAGCGAAAGAAAGTAGGGGACTAAAATGGCTAATAATAAAATAGTAGCCGGTCTCCTCTGCAGTACTACTAACTGCTACTAATAATATCTCTCGCCATGTCGTTGGATCGTGAGAGAAAAAAAAAAAAGACTCGCTGCTCTGTCGAGGCACTTCATGAAACATTATTAACGATGGGGTTGCATTTTACACAGCTTCATTGCACAAATTTAATAAGCATTATTTGAAATTTGAATGCTTCTTATTCTTCTTAACGTTTTATTAAAACCTAGAGAAGAAATATGCATGAGAAAGCCAGCATCTTTCCTTTTTTTTCTGTTAAAAAAAAAAAACAAAAAAACAAAACTCCGTTCAGCTGACAACAACAACAACAATATATTCTGACCTGACGCACACCCTTCTTTCTACCATCATCAGGCTTTTTTAAATCACTTTCTATCTAAGCCTAAAATTTACTCTTATTTTCTATGGCATCAAGAAGAATAGTGTCGAAAAAAATTTAATCTAAGTCTTTTTGAAAGTCATTATCCGCTTTAACGGTTAGATAAAAAAAAAAAAATCTAAATTCTATCATCAGTTATCGTAAAATAACTAATTAGTTTTACAAACATTTTTAAGGTTAAGATTTATTATATAAAAATAAAATAAATTATACAAAATTAACAATTAGAAAAATGTCCATGTTCATAATGAATGTTAAGTCGCCCATAGTGGAAATTAAAATTCTAAAAATCACACCACTATATAAACACACAGTGTGTGTGTCTGGGTGTATGCTTACTTAACAACATTATTTTAAAACCATAACAACCAATTCATTCAGTCAAACGAATCATGATTTTTGGGTAATTAATAGTTGTAAAAATGTAAAGAAAACGTTGTCACCAACCCACCATGGAATTAAATCTGATTGTAGGGATGTTTTTAAAACGTTCGGTTTGTATATTTATTTCAGTAGTAGGGGATCGAGCCAAATAAATCAACATTTTGTTAAATAATTATCGTGCAACAAAAGACTTGATATTTACCATCACAAATTTGAATATAAAAAACTGTTTTCCTAAAGAAGAATAAACACTATAATATTGTTGCTAAGCAATGAAGAAAGTGATATCCGCAGGAACAACAAATTAGCGACTGAAAAATGAAGATTTCATATTCTGTGAACATCCCAGTACATATATACACAGAATAAATGAATAATTTAATTACCTGATATTTTTTTTGTTTAAATATTATTCTGCATTGCTTTTTAATGTAAGCAATCAAAGTATCATTTAGCCGTTACAGTTTAAGTTTGTAATTAACAAAAATATGTATCAATGACCCGCACTTTTTCTTTTTTAATGATTAATAATAATAATAATAGAAAAACAAAGAAACTGTTCAGCTTTGACAGTCCTTTCTTATAGCGTAAATAAATCTTGAAAGTGTCATGCCCAATAAATAATAAATGTAAAAATAAAATGGAACAAGTTGTTTTATTTATTTGCAAAATGCTAAGTGTAGTAAAATGTCGTGATACCGGCAAAGCAAACAGATCACGTGATGAACCAAAATAGCTTACATTCTTCGTCTTTAGTCTTTTTCTTAAACACTCAACAATATTTGTTTGTTTGTTTGCAATAATATTGGAGCCAGGAAAAAAAAAAAAATAAAAAAGACCTATAAGGATTTCAATTTTAAGTCTTGTATAACTATTTTTAATTATGCTGTGTAGTGTAAATAAGAAACATACGTTTCATCGTCCCAGCATCTACACACGAACACACAATTAAAAGAAAGGAGGGGAGGGAGAAAAGGTTGTAGTTTACTCGAGCTTGATACCGGTATAATGGATTAATTAATTAAAATATGAAAAAAAAAAAAATTGATTAGTCCATCACAGGACAATAAAAATGTGACCTTAAAGAAAAGAATAAAATTCTGTCTGAGCAAAAAAAAAAAAAAAAAAAAAAAAAAAACACGAAATGACAAACAAGATCGAAGAGTGTAAATAAATAAGAATTTAAAGCTGAATGTGGTATATTTTTATATTAATTGGCTATGTCCTAGTCTAGCCTTTGTCATACTTAAAAAAAAAAAAAAAAAAAGTTACTCTATTTTGAAAGAAAGAGTAGAAATAAAAAAAAAGAAAGGTTGGGGGGGGGAGGAGATATAGCTAATAAATACACGTGCGCCTATGTATGTATAAAGAAAGACTGCATATCAATAAGATTACTGAAAAAGGAGATATGAAAAAAAAAAAAAAAATACTAAACTAAAAACAAGGACAGACCCTTGGAATAAGTACAAAATCATCAAGATAGGAAAAAAATCCTAAAAGGAATAAATAAAAATACAAGTAGAAAATAGAATTAAAAACGGCGCATTTACACTAGAGAGGCGATGGTCGAAAAGTCGGGGTCTATTGCGGCTGTCGGCTTTTTGGATTTAACATGTCAGATATAGAAAAGAAAATCAAGTCTTTTAAATAGCGATAGAGTAGAGAGCGGCCAAAATAATTAGGAGCAAATGTTAACCGCTGGACACTGTGGTCAATGCGCCTGAAGGGTGGTGCGTCATTAAGTTATAGATTAATGTTGATCCCCGACTTTAGAGCCAACAGCAGTCAATGCGTGTGTGTCCCTCTTGTAAATGCTAATTGTTTACACAGTCGCCATGATGGAGAGAGGGAGAGTAACACATGGGGAATCTTGAGCGGCTCGGCCAACAAGAATAAAGACTAGTAAACAAAAAAGAAAAACACGAACCAATAACCTCATTTTCATTTATTAAAAAGCTAATATTCAACACTGTTTTTTTTTAATCATAAATCATACTTTTCATAAACAAAAAAGAAAAATAGAGAAAGATCTATAAAAAGATCCCCCACTTTTTGTGTAAACCATGAATCAAAAACTTACTCGTCAACAGGATTGAAAGGAGAACACGTGGCCTTTTTAGGGTACATGTTCTTTCGTCCAAATGGGGTTATTTGAGCTCCCTTTCTTTCTTACGGCATTTAATTACCCATACTAATTTAAGGCGATATTAAATTGTGAAGGAATATTTAGGAAAGTTCAACAGGACATGCTTAATTAAAACAATTTTAAACAAAATAAAAATGAGAAAAATATTTTCAAAATTATAATTCGTCTGAGCTACTATTCATCAGGTTGTATTTTTCTTTTATTTTAGGTTTTTTAGCTATTTTTAAAATAATTACGAAAATATTGTTTATCAGAGTTTAAGTAAATACGTACAAAAGGTTTTCACTTTTCAGAAAGAAAAAGGCCTTGTGATTAGACATAAAAAAATAAAACAATCAATGTCAATTATAATGACTATGACAGTAATTCATTCACAAAAAGGTTTTATTGATCTTAATGCAAAACAAATGCAAATCTATCATAACAAACAAAGACCGGTTCGTTTTTGTTTTGTTGATATGACCCAGAGAGACAGTGAATTAAAAGTAAATAATAAACAATGAACCTTGTCAGCAAACTCTTGCTTGAAAAGTAACATTTCTACAGAAAAATAATGGCATTTTTTAAACTCTTAATTTTTTTTTTTTTTTTGATATTTTTGTAAAAATAGGTTTTCTTTTTTTAGTAAAATGAAAATAGCGCCCACCCTCTTTTTTTTTTCTTTTTTTTAAATTAGTGTACAGTAAAGAAAGGCCATACAAAGTAGTTAGTTTTTAAATCATTAAAATCTGGAACAAGAATGGAAGATAAGTATACTATCTGAAAAATAAACAAACATTGAAGACTGGCGAAAATGTACCGACTGGCAGATTAAATATAAAAAAGGATTTTTTTTTTTAAATTTCATTTTTTTTTTTTAAACATTTTTATAACCGTCTTCCCAGTGATCCCTCACTTTTGGGTCTGCTTCTCATGTGGCAAGGTGAGTATGTAAAAAGTTTTTGTGGGGAATCATGGTGTGCCTATCTATACACACATCTTCTTGTCTTTCTTTTCTTTTTTTTGTGATGTTACTACTTTCACAAAAGACAGTTACATTCAAAATAAGTTTAAATTTGTGATTAGCTTTCGTATATAGAAGGACATTTTAAAATAAAAGCGGCGAATAAGGTTGTAATATAAAAACTAAAAATATATTTGTTCGTAACAAACAAACAAAAACGTGTTAAGAGGGAAAAATAATTGTTTCGTTTTAGATTGCCATATACAAGTTATTTATCAAAGAAAAAACATCCTCTCTTTAGTTAAAAAACTAAAATCAATGACATTTCGGGGTGAAGTGATTATTTTATTAAAAATAAAATTAAAGAAATTAAAAATGGATTTTTTAAAAGGCGTTATTTTTTGTATCTTAAAAGATAAATAAAAAAAAGTGGAACGACAACAAACATTATTTTTTTCAGCGATTCGAAAGTAAATAAATTATTTCTTCAGTATAATATAATCTTTTTAATTTAAATATTAAAAATATTTACATGAATCAGAATTTATGTATGTTATTTTTAATAATTTAAAATAGACAAAGACACGATTTAAAAACAAAACAAAAAAAAAGCCTTCTTACTTTTTTGGTAGTTGCAATGGGGCCAGTCCCTTTCTTTGAAAAATGCCGTCGACAAAGACACCGTTTTTACCGGAACATTTCATAAAAAAATTGGGCGGCTCGTAGCACAATTCCAGATGTTTTCTGGAAATGAAACTCGAGTGTCCAACGTTAATATTGACGTCGCCTTTGCTGCTGTGCCGGCCGATCACGATTTTCGTTTGGCGCATTGAGTATTCGAAATCTCGACCCTCAAGCCGGGCGAGCACAGGTCCTTCGCAATCCCGGGGCCATGAACACACTTTCGAAGGGCTGGACGGGGCACTTTTCAACGACAACAGTGCCCAAGCATCGTTATCTGAAACAGGCTGGCTGGAATAGGCCGACATGACGGAAAGAAGCAGCGATTTCCCAAATAGAGAAGAGAGCTCGGACAGGAGAGTAGCAGAAGCTCTCACCAAGATGGCGGCCAAGATTAAAAAGAAAAACAAATTTTTACCTCGTTCTCTAAAGAACCCACCCACTGTGTGTTTACATGCCGATTTTCCCAGCATGCAATTGGCTAAACACACATACGCATATATTAATTTATAGGGAGGAGGAATCATTTAGAAAGAGAGAGAGGGTGGGAGCTGCTGCTGATAATTTAAGAATGTGGTTGTTTTTGTATAGATGATAAATTTGTTTATTTATGTCAATTGTGATGATGAGTTGTCCTATTTTTTATGATGATTGTGATGTTAGTTTAGATTATGCACGTTGATCGTGATGATTATTCCTGAAATACTTTTATGCATTTGTGATGGTGTTTATTATTGTTGTTACTATTATTGCTACTACCATGGATGTGTTTATATCGGTATATTAACAGTTGTAATAATAAATAATAATAATAATGATCACTAATAAATTAACGATCACAATGATTGATGATCGAGTAATCGAAGCAATATTCAATTTATTACTGTTAAACTAAATAGCTACAAACGTTAATTTACAACATCATCAACAGCTACAGCGGCAACAACAACAACAACAATAACAACAACAACAATAATAATAATAATAATAATAATAATAATAATAATAATAATAATAGAGACAAGCATTAGGAAAGGTTAAAAATAAAATCTACAACTGAATACCTCAATGGGCTTTTGGAATTAATGTTCTAAATTAGCTGAACGACCTCATCTGCTTTAGGCAAAAAGTATGACCCCAAAATAAATTAAAAAAAAAAAAACAAGAAAAAATTTAAAAAAGACCAACAAGAGCAAACCGGCTTGGGAAATAAGATTAGATCTTCAACGTACAAAGAGATACAGGGTCACCAAAAGACATATCTAACAACAATAACTGGCCACAATGGGGCTCATAAAAAAAAACAAAAAAAAACAAAAAAAAACGGGATAGACGCTATAGATTAAGAACTTCCCCTCCCTCAAAAAAAAAAAAAGTTTGAGGAAGCATAGTTAATTACAATCAACCTGGAAAACACTTTTTGAAGTATAGTCAGCTCGAAAGCACCCCTATCGAAGCAACAAATGATAGCGGTGAATAAAGAATTGATTGTTCGTTTTTGCACATTATCAACTCTTTGCAGGTTATTTAAAGCCAAAAACATTGTAAGAATATCTTACATTGTAAGAATATTTTTTTAGCTAATAAGCTAATTTATGAGACAAATCTTACTAATTAACCCATAGCTGGGAGGAGAAAAGGTGGATTTATGCCTAATCAGAATTTGATAAACAAACAAGAATTATAATGTAGATGTAAAGTGGGGGATCAATTTTATATTACACTCAGTATATACACTGAACACACACTTTGTGGCCACGGTACTCTGTATGCATATATATTCCAGAGAATGTAAATAAATCTAAAATGCATGCCTGTAGAGCTAATCAGTATTTCATTGATTGATTCATTCATTTGCTATGGCTTATCAATCATCTGCACGTTATTTAAGACTAGAAAATATTTTTAGATTGTAAGAATTTTTTTTTTTTTGAGATGATAATGATTTAGTGATGCAAGTTTTACTAATTAACCTAGAGCTGGGGGAGAAGAGGTGGATTCATACCTTTCCCAAGGATATTTGCGCGTAAGTGAAAATAACGAACCCAAATAGAATTCGAGACTAGGCTCTCCGATTAACAATTATCCATTACGCCACACGCATATCCAAGCTAAGAGCACCTGGTATTCCCAAGCGTTACTAACCAGGATCGACGTTGCTTAACTTCGGTGATCATACGGGAACCGGTGTTTCAACGTGATATGGCCGTAAGCACGAGGATAAAGAAGAACTGCAAATCAAGATAAAGTTTCTAATATATTAGTTGTAGAATGTAATTGCAAATGATCGCTGTCATTTCCTAAGGGACGGACGGGAACACCTCGGTGTGCAACAATGGTTAGTGAGGCTAGGTTGATCCACTGTTACTAATGAGTTCGATCTTCCTATTAAAAACGTTGGTATTAATTACTCACGAGTTGTCATGTATAATCAACCAACCTAACTTTCTACAACGCAGATAAACTAATAATAATAATAATAATAATAATAATAATAATAATAAGAAGAAGAAGAAGAAGAAGAAGAAGGGGGAGGAGGAGGAGGAGGAGAATGTTGGTGTTAAATTGTGATAAACCAAATGCGCCTACTAATCTAGGCACGACCATAACCTTTACATTCGACACTATTCAGCTCAAAGGCAAGGTCCTGCTATTTCCCCAATGTCTCACTCACACTCTTTCACATTCACTCTCTGGTCTTCCAGAACAGCTAAATCAACAGTCTTTATTTCTTTTCCTTATTCCCGTCTATCAGATCCTGTCTTATTGGTCGGAAAGAGTAGTCAATCTAAATGGCAAAATCCAGGTGTATTTTATGATTTTTATATTCCATCAGTGTCTCTGGTTTATGCTGATACAATTTATTTTCATGATCGAACACAAGTAATTTACACAGTTCCAACTGTACAACAATTGCTACCCCGTCGAATTTTCTTTTCTACTCTTTTAAGACTTATTTTCTCCAATTAATAAGTTGCTTGTGCAATTCTCCATTACTTTGGATTACTCTGTGTTGAGTTCCATTCTATATACTTTGACCCATTCAATGAGTTTTTTGGTCATGTCATGCAGCTCACTGTCACTGCCTGCTCATAAGTTCAATATCATCTGCGAAACGCAGGTTGCAGACAGGTCTACCACTGACAAAGACAGAAGAGTTGTGGTCGTGGAGGGTTTCCTGCATAATTCTCTCCAGAAACAGACTGAAGAGTGTTGAAAAGCGTTGGCATGTCTAACGCCGTCTGTTGAAGAAGTCTCTTACTTGGTTGCTCAAAAGTACTACTTTGGTGGCTAGAGGGTCTGGATGACTTGGATGAGCCCCTCTTCTATATTGAATCCTTTGAGAACGTGCTAGAATCAGTAACACCATAAAAAATGATTTCTTGAAATCAAAGGAATTGTGGAACAGATCCTTCTGGTTTTGCAGATGTTTCTTGCTGAGGAAACCACAGTTGAAGATTTGTCCCACTGTGCTCTGTCCGGCTCTAAAACCTGCCAGATCTTCTGACAATAGTTCATCCGTCTTGGATTTCAGACGATTGGGGATAATACGGAGCATGACCTTGCAGTGGTAGCTGATCACTCTTATTGTTCTATAATTTTGGTATTACTTTAGATTACACTTCTTTGGTAGGGGTATCATCAGTGATTAGGTCCACTCTTTTGGCCAATTCTTCTGTTACCAAATCTGCTGGCATAGAATTGTTAGGGCCTTGACGGTTTCTTCACGTCCATCTTTCAGCAGTTCACAGGGTACATTGCCCACTCCAAGTGACGTACCAGGTTTCAGGCTCCGAATTGCTGCTTCTACCTCCTATTTCACTATTGGCTGACTATCCTTGCATTCTGTGGGGTAGTGGCCGGCTTGTATTATAAAGGTGTCCGGATGGAGCTCTTAATTGTACAGGCCGTCGCAGTATTCAGTCCACCTCTTCCGAACTTTCACTCTGTCAGTACCTTGCCACCTCTGTCATTTATAACAGATACTCTTGGCTGGCTGGTCTTGGTGAGGGACTTGAGGGTATTGTAGGCCTTCTTGTTGTCACCTAATTTTATGCTCTTTTCAATGGCGCTGCACTGCCCCACCATCCGCTCCTATTTGGGTGCCTGTAACTTCTTCCTGGCATCTCTGTGCACGTTTTGGTACTGTGTCCGAGCTTCACTTGAGTACCTTTCCCTCTTAGCTCTTCCTTATTGTTGCACAAATCCAGGACTTCTTTCATGATTCACACCTGAATTTTCTTCCGTGTTTTTTTACAGAACCTCTTCAGCTGATGTGAGTATGCTTTCTTTGAGTTTCTATTTCGCTGTCAAGCAAAGGCTGCAAACTTCTGCGATTTCAAGATCCTTCAACTTCTCAAATCGGATGCGGGATCTCTTAAGGCAACGCTCAGCTTTAAGCTTCAGCTTCAGCTCGAAGGTTGTCATCACAAGGTCATGATCGCTGCCGATGTCTGCGCCAGATAATGTTCTTGTTTTCGCTTTGTTGTAGCTGGACTTGAAGCGTTGCGGAACCAGAACGAAATCTTTCTGGTTGTGGACTTGCCCGTTAGATGAGTTCCATGTTGTGGTTCCAGGCAGTTTGTGGCAGTGGATAGTGTTGGCCAAATTGAGGTGATAAATTCTGGCAAACTCAAGCAGTCTAAGGCCCCTGTTGTTGGTCTCCATTATACCATATCTCACGACAGTTCCTCCCCATTTCTCGGGTGCACCTGGGCTTACTTTGGCATTTCAGTCCCCTTGTATAATAATGATTTCTTTCATAGGGACTTCCACGATGGTGGATCCTATAAAGTCGTAAAACTTTTCGACTTCCTCATCATCTGAAGTTGGCGCATAGACCTTGTTCATGTTGTGCGCTTTGGCTGATACACGGACGGGAAAGAGTCTTGGTGTTGGTAGCTTGATTCTGTTTGTCGCTCTAGTCGCCGATTTGCGGGCTATCCTGGAGTACGTCAATAAGACGGGCGACCGTTATAGATCCCGGCATTGATAATAATAATAATAATAATAATAATAAGTAGTGAATATATAAAAAAATAGCCTTTGTCGTCGCCGTCTTTGCCGATCTGTGGTTAATCTTTTTCTTCCGAACAATATTTCTATATCACAGAAATATTTTTTAACATGATTGAGCAAAAAGTGACTTATATAATAACAGGAGTAATCAATGAATCATAGACGACATTGAACATCTAAAATATATAAAGCGTTCATGTTAATTAAAATCATAGATGCCATTGAACATCTAAAATATATGAAGCGTTCATGTTAATTAAAATCATAGATGCCATTGAACATCTAAAATATATCAAGTGTTCATGGTAATTAAAATCATAGATACCATTTAAAACCTCAAATATATAAAGCGTTCATGTTAATTAAAATCATAGATATCATTGAACATCTAAAATATATAAAGCGTTCATGTTAATTAAAATCATAGATACCATTGAACATCTAAAATATATAAAGCGCCCAGATTAATTAAAATCATAGATATCATTGAACATCTAAAATATATAAGGCGTTCATGTTAATTAAAATCATAGATACCATTGAACATCTAAAATACATAAAACTCATGTCACCTCTGGTACATTATCAAAAAGTGGTTGGGCTAACGGAAGAAAGTGAATATTCTGCTACAGTGTAACCCGGATATAAGAGAGTTGTCGGGACCGGGGAAGAAGTCTCTTATATACGGGTTTCTCTTATATCCGGGTTTGGTCTATTTTGTTTAGGTAAGTATGGCTCTAATTTGGGACCAGAGAAAATCTCTCTTATATCCGGGTTTGGTCTATTTTGTTTAGGTAAGTATGGCTCTAATTTGGGACCAGAGAAAATCTCTCTTATATCCGGGTTTGGTCTATTTTGTTTAGGTAAGTATGGCTCTAATTTGGGACCAGAGAAAATCTCTCTTATATCCGGGTTTGGTCTATTTTGTTTAGGTAAGTATGGCTCTAATTTGGGACCAGAGAAAATCTCTCTTATATCCGGGTTTGGTCTATTTTGTTTAGGTAAGTATGGCTCTAATTTGGGACCAGAGAAAATCTCTCTTATATCCGGGTTTGGTCTATTTTGTTTAGGTAAGTATGGCTCTAATTTGGGACCAGAGAAAATCTCTTATATCCGGGTTTGGTCTATTTTGTTTAGGTAAGTATGGCTCTAATTTGGGACCAGAGAAAATCTCTCTTATATCCGGGTTTGGTCTATTTTGTTTAGGTAAGTATGGCTCTAATTTGGGACCAGAGAAAATCTCTCTTATATCCGGGTTTGGTCTATTTTGTTTAGGTAAGTATGGCTCTAATTTGGGACCAGAGAAAATCTCTCTTATATCCGGGTTTGGTCTATTTTGTTTAGGTAAGTATGGCTCTAATTTGGGACCAGAGAAAATCTCTCTTATATCCGGGTTTGGTCTATTTTGTTTAGGTAAGTATGGCTCTAATTTGGGAACAGAGAAAATCTCTTATATCCGGGTTTGGTCTATTTTTTGTTTAGGTAAGTATGGCTCTAATTTGGGACCAGAGAAAATCTCTCTTATATCCGGGTTTGGTCTATTTTGTTTAGGTAAGTATGGCTCTAATTTGGGACCAGAGAAAATCTCTCTTATATCCGGGTTTGGTCTATTTTGTTTAGGTAAGTATGGCTCTAATTTGGGACCAGAGAAAATCTCTCTTATATCCGGGTTTGGTCTATTTGTTTAGGTAAGTATGGCTCTAATTTGGGACCAGAGAAAATCTCTTATATCCGGGTTTGGTCTATTTTGTTTAGGTAAGTATGGCTCTAATTTGGGACCAGAGAAAATCTCTTATATCCGGGTTTGGTCTATTTTGTTTAGGTAAGTATGGCTCTAATTTGGGACCAGAGAAAATCTCTCTTATATCCGGGTTTGGTCTATTTTGTTTAGGTAAGTATGGCTCTAATTTGGGACCAGAGAAAATCTCTCTTATATCCGGGTTTGGTCTATTTTGTTTAGGTAAGTATGGCTCTAATTTGGGAACAGAGAAAATCTCTCTTATATCCGGGTTTGGTCTATTTTGTTTAGGTAAGTATGGCTCTAATTTGGGACCAGAGAAAATCTCTCTTATATCCGGGTTTGGTCTATTTTGTTTAGGTAAGTATGGCTCTAATTTGGGAACAGAGAAAATCTCTTATATCCGGGTTTGGTCTATTTTGTTTAGGTAAGTATGGCTCTAATTTGGGACCAGAGAAAATCTCTCTTATATCCGGGTTTGGTCTATTTTGTTTAGGTAAGTATGGCTCTAATTTGGGACCAGAGAAAATCTCTCTTATATCCGGGTTTGGTCTATTTTGTTTAGGTAAGTATGGCTCTAATTTGGGACCAGAAAATCTCTCTTATATCCGGGTTTGGTCTATTTTGTTTAGGTAAGTATGGCTCTAATTTGGGACCAGAGAAAATCTCTTATATCCGGGTTTGGTCTATTTTGTTTAGGTAAGTATGGCTCTAATTTGGGACCAGAGAAAATCTCTCTTATATCCGGGTTTGGTCTATTTGTTTAGGTAAGTATGGCTCTAATTTGGGACCAGAAAATCTCTCTTATATCCGGGTTTGGTCTATTTTGTTTAGGTAAGTATGGCTCTAATTTGGGAACAGAGAAAATCTCTCTTATATCCGGGTTTCTCTTATATCCGGGTTTGGTCTATTTCATATACATTAACACAGGCTCTAATTTGGGACCAGAAAATCTCTCTTATATCCGGGTTTGGTCTATTTTGTTTAGGTAAGTATGGCTCTAATTTGGGACCAGAGAAAATCTCTCTTATATCCGGGTTTGGTCTATTTTGTTTAGGTAAGTATGGCTCTAATTTGGGACCAGAGAAAATCTCTCTTATATCCGGGTTTCTTTTATATCCGGGTAACACTGTATTTGCATTTCCGCCCAATATTGAAATTGTCATATCCGTGATATAATAACACTTTATTTCGCTGAAAGAACGGAATAACTGATAGGGAAAGGAATGGCGAACATGCTTTATTGTCAGAGAGAGTTGTATACCACTAAGTCGTACACAAAATTATATATACACATTTATGCGTGTCTCACACAAAAATTATATCATGTATGCAATAACAAACAGCGTGTAAAGAGAGCGAAATAGATGTTTACTTATAATAATTCCCAAATTCGAATTGGGTCTGCTGGATATTTTCCTGTGTAGCTGAAGAAGCCATGTTTACGATTCACGATTCGAACAGGCCATATTTATCTGCTATGTCACTAGCGAGGTCATTTTGTAGAGGACCGTGTGTGTGTGTGCGTGTTGTTGTATTAGAAACACGTGTGTAACTCCTGGTAGAATATTAAAAGGTCCAACTACTAGAAAATTGCCGGACTCAAGTTAAGTCCAACTGAAGATGTAAAGAAGACAAACAAAACCGATATATATATATATATATATATATAAACAAATATATGTATTAAACAAAACAATTTTACAATAGACAATAACATTTGTGTGTGTGTGTGTAAACATTCGTGTCTATTCTTGATGAATGTTCGTACGTACGTGTATGTGTGTTTAATGTTAACGGCGTCTCCCACAAATGGGAAGACGCGGATCTTCTAAGAGAGCTTACATCGTAGTCACTGAAATGAAGAAATGAAAAAGAGAACGAGGCGAGGAGTCGCCCAGTATTTATAGTATAGGGAGAATGACCCCTAGTGACAACTTGGGAATTAAGGAGGAGCTAACTCCGACAATATTACTCTCAAAATAAGAATTGGCGAGTATTGGGTTTTTCCTAGCATGAGGACTGCGATCCAGAGATAGCTTCTTTCTATAGTTGGGGAAGATATACTCTCAAAGGTAAACGGCTCCACGAGTTTTTCTGCTGCACCACGTTGGTTGCCCCGAGTAGAAACCCGAGCGAGGTAACTGCTCGGTTTGACGTCCTGGAAACTGACTGAAAGTCTGACCACTGTCGTCACTCGATGACGTGACGTCACTAAGCATCCGTCACGCGATCCACGTGACGTGCATCATGCCCAAAGGGAGATAATCACCATAATTCATAAGAATTATAATATTATACGAACATTGAATGTTTTTGATGACCATTGTCATAAAGTGACAGGACATTCCTTGCTACCTGTATGCATTTCATTAATAAAATGTCGTGCTGAAGATGTTCATTCTTCTCGAAAATGACTTTTACTTTTAATCTCTTTATAGACGATCCCATCTGTATTCTTTTAATCAAAGAAAAAAAAATAAAACACTAAATATAAAAAGAAAAAAAGATATAAGCATTGACAAGTTTAATGACCGGAGGGCTTTGTTTTAAACTTTGTAATTGACATTTTTGTTTTACATTTACTTAAAGGTCAATCTAGTTCCAAAAATATTAATACATAAAATAACTGACCCGTTCTACAACTGGTGTCGCTATGGGAAACTATGACGTTAGTATTTAAACGATAGCAAAAAACAAATTTTTCTCTCAAATATTTTTCACTTTCCGTCAACATGAAGTAAGTAAAACCTAGGAATTGTCTATGGATCTCAATCGGTGGTCACTCTTCCCGAGGAATTGTCCATGGATTTCCATCGGTGTTCACGCTTTCCTCGGAATTGTCTATGGATCTTCATCGGTGGTCACGCTTTCTGAGGAATTGTCTATGGATTTCCATCCGAGGTGACCT